TCGGAGTTTTTCAATCCGAACAACGTAATAGGCACGCAGATTCGAGAGTGAGGAAACAACTGGTTTCTGCCAGCATCCTTGTCTCGATGAATTAATTAATGTTTCTCCTTATAGCGAATGCGCTCGTTTGGCTATAGAAGACATGGCACGGTACCTAGATGCCTGTGAGGGAGAAGTGGCGGTGAGTCATTAGCCTCCTTTCAGCCGATCTCTGTAATAGTTTTACCAATACGGGAGTTCTGTTGGGAAACGCCTGTTTCAGATACTGGACGCTACGAACACGACACGTGCTCGCCGACGTTTCCTCATCGAGTATGGCCAGCGCCCAGAGCTATCCCAAAGCTTCCGTGTGTTTTTCGTTGAAAGTGTCTGCGATGATCCGGACATCATCAATTCGAACATTACGGTAAGTAACCTCGCCTTCTGTGATTATTTCGTTTGTTCTTGAGTCAATTGAGTAATTTTTCTTTTCATGTCATTTCCATAAATTCAAGCATTACGGTCCATCAGCTGTGTCATTAAACTCAGAGAATGCTCTATCTCTTCTTATATTACTATTCCTCACATCTGCTCTTGTTCTGGTCTTATAATACGAGTATATGAAATCTCACTCTGTTTAAAGGAATGGTCCGCGATGACCTATGAAAATGCAAGAGGTTATGTGGGAAGGTAGTGCGGTCCAGGGTGGACACCCTGTGCCAGTTTCGCGGCGGAAAGTTGTACGGTAAAGGAATTAAGGCGCAAAGTTGCTTCAGTGGTACATCCCTTTTTCCAGTGACTCCGCCTCCAGACTCCGCCTCCAAAGTCGGCCTTCCAGCCAAAAGTAATGCTCCCGGGCAAGTATCATGGAGTGGATGCATTCAGTGTCTCTTGTAGAGTCATAGGTTCATTACTGGGAATCAGCCGACGGGAATTGTCCCAGCGCGCGGTCTTTTCGGTCTTTTACCTCTACAGTTGTTTGAGGCTAGAGGAGGCCTGACGAATGCGTTTCCAACGTTCCCTTTGGCATTTTCTCTTCATAGACGGTTCACTTGGCGAATTTTCTTCCACATTTCTGCAACATCACCTAGGCTTTTTATCGCGGACCGTGCCTTTAATTATAAGGCTGACAACGTCTGATAGACTAGTTTTGAGCTTGACGTTCCTGGAACGCAAATGAGGGGACGCCCCAAACAAGCTGGACATGCTGCATGAGGACTCAAGGTAGTCGGTAGCCGTGCCGACTAGGCATCCAGGCGGGAGAAGTGGCATCACCATACCAGAAAGGAGGTCCAGCTAATTGTTGAGGCATGCGCAGAATAAAAATAATTTAGAATGTCCCCAGAGTTTCTCTTGTGTGACCCTAGACACAATGTTACTAGAAATGCAGAGCGCCCTCAATTGTGCTAGGGGGCATTGTTAAGAGATCCTCATGAAGAATCGTGCCTAATCTTGTGCGTAACCAATGCTGTGGTGTTAAACCGTCCATGTTTTGATTGCCTTATTCCTTTCGTCCATAAGAGTCTCATTTGAATAATAAACAGCGCAGACGTGGCTGATGGTAACCTCTAGGTCGCGCCTCCGTTTCTCCGAAAAAGGCATACATCTAGAGCGCAGATGACCAGAGTTGCCAAGGAATAGTCTCGCAGAAAGAACGTAGTCTTCACTAAGTCTAATACTTGATTAGAGGAAAGGATACAGAGGCGCTGGAGAGCGGTCCCCCACCTCCCAACTGCGTTGGCGCTCAATAAATGAAGGAATTTGGTGGTTAATGAAGCTTAGGAGTTCCGTGATCGGGTATGTAACAAGAGAATCGTAATTCGCCGCGCAGGTGGGCGTCGCGACTGCGACGTACGAACCCGCAATTGACGATGCTTCCAGGTCGTAGATGGCGTCAACAGGTGATTCAGAATCTAAATTAGTCATGAATGTCTATGATGGCGGGGTCTAACATTGAGGTCCCGGATGGCCCCAGCTGGACGAGGCTGTTGCACACGAAACTTTGAGAAAAACGCCGCGCCCAATCACCGCGTGCTGCGGAGCGGCGAATCACGATTCTCTTGCCCGTCTCCCCCTGTGATTTTGTTTGCACAGGCTAATTGTACAGAATTTAAGTTTAGTGACGATTTTTGCACTTGTTTTCGTCATTGTCTTACAGGTTTTATTCCTGTGCGACGACTTATGTAAGCGAACTTTATTGAATTAGAGGCTGTTTGTTTCTTATACCAAAAATTTTTTTTTGAATTTCTTTTGAGCTTCACTTCTTTTAGGAAGTCAAGATCAACTCTCCTGATTACAAAGGGTAAAATGACGCAAGAACAAGCTAAAGAGGACTTTGTCAAAAGGATTGAGAACTATAGACTACAATATGAACCGATAGATGAGGACACTGACGACGAATTATCTTTTATCAAGGTTAGCAACTTAGCACTTACATAGGTCCCTCGGCTTTAACAACCTTGAGGTGAGGGCGTTTAAGGGGTTCATTGTGCTAAATGGGGACCTAGTCATCCAAATAAAGGTATCATCGCTTGAATCGGTCTACCATTTGCGAAGGTGCCCCTTTTGGCTCAGAAAGTCCTCATCGGCGCTGTTTGGCTTGGTGGGGGTACTGAACGGATTTGAGCTAGCTTCTACAAGCCACCTTGAAAAAAAGCCTGATATTCCTACCAATAAAGCGGTTCGCTCGACAGTTTTGCAGCTTCGCAGGGTTTTTTGACAGAAGTGGAACCTGTTCGCTGACATGAACCAACAAGAGAACTTACCGAAAGCGCAATGGTTCCCCCCCCCCCCTTCAGTCCTTCTCCAGCCAAGCCAAACAGCGGCATCTTTATCTGTATTCGAGGGGTCCCAAGGAGTTTCTTGAAAGCCCCTTCTGGGCTGTTCGCGTCCCTTCCCTATATACGTCATCTGCCGAAAATTATCTGACTCATGCAAATTGCGTCGTGTCATTTAAGCGTGTTATCATCCGTGAAGGCGCGAAATCGTTGGAACTGCTTGTTCAGCTGTCTGTGCTAGCAGAGCAAATTTTTGTTGTTATCTTAATTGAGCAATTTAAGGTGATAAATGCTGGAAAATCGTTCTACGTCCACAATGTGAAAGGTCATATTCAAAGTAGGGTTGTGTATTTTCTTATGAATATCCATCTGCTACCACGTAGTATCTACCTCACTCGTGTAAGTTATTAATTAGTTCTATCCTTGGGGTTGGGAAGTCTTCTTTGTACTTTTATTTCTCTGACAAAGCCCCATCACCTGCTGAACGCGCAGTTTTTCAGCATGGCGAAAGCGAATACAACCAGATTGGACGATTAGGAGGGGACAGTCCATTGAGTGAAAATGGCCTCAAATATGCTCATAAACTTCACGAGTACTTTAAGGTACTGTAAAAACTGACATGTTTTTGCGATTCCAGCAAGGATATTTTTTATCTAAACTTCTTGTATTCTAGAATGAAGCTCTGAAAGACTTGAGAGTGTGGTCTTCACAGAAGATACGTGCTGCTCAAACGGCCACCTGCATGCGCGATCTAGCCACGCATGTTGAATACTGGAAAGTTTTAGATGAAATTGATGCGGTATGTTCTTCACTCTTGTTAGCATCGTTTTACCCTGAGATGTCGGCCTTATTCCTGAGTTTCTTGAACATTGAGTGCAGTTGAATCTTTGCCGTTTTCACTATTGTTCAAAGTGATGTTAGTGGGTAGTTCGAAAGGTTCGCACCGAAATTTCCTTCTTAGGTTGGTTCGTAATTTTATGGGCGTTGAATTACAATCCCTGACAGCAGAAGACAGAAGAATGTACTTAAAGCTTTCACTGGCCAACACAGTTTGCTTGAAATGAACCAAAGTTGGCAGTGTTGCTCCTGTTCGTGATGATGCAGACAGAGCACGTCGTACATTGGGGATCCTCAGCCCCGAGGGGGTCTTATTCGGTCCCTAGAGGAAGCGGGTTGCATTTACCTAGACAAAAATGTTTTGAAGCTGTTTTGTTATGATAACTGCTGTTTAACGCCGCAGTACGCGTTCCGAATGTTATCACAAGAATGCTGAGTTGTGGGCAAAAGTCGTGCCCCAGGCGGGAGTCGAACCCGCACCTCACGCTTTCCGGGCGAGTGCGCTATCCGTTACGCCACCAGGCCTTTTACCCTCTCAGCTTAACGGCTTTTATGCCGTAGCCTTACAGCACTCACACGTTT